AAGTTACAAAGATTCAAAATTAGAGTAGTTTTATATTAAATTTTTAAATTTGGCCACCTTTTATATATAAAAAAAATTAAATTCATTAAAAAGTTTAGGAAATTAGACGTGGAATCAATTTATTTTTCAAATTGAGAAATACAGAAAAAAAAAGAAAGATATTTCTAATTGCAGGTTATGAAAGCAAAAATATCTCAAAGTTACAAAAGGATGAATATTTCAAGATTTCAAGATATATATCATTCGCGAACTAGAAATATTGTATCCCGTATTTCTCTTTGAAAAATAAAATCTAATCAAATTATTTAATAGTTAAAATTTTCAGTGGTGGGTAATTATTAAATTGATTATTAAACCGTGAGTAACTTGCAAGTGTTGATTTTATGATCGTAATTGTGATAAATTCAAGTACGTAGATGAGTTTAATTGCCAACGATAGCTTTTGAAACTTCATAAGAATGACTTAGAATATTATGATGCAATAAAAAATAATCAGTTGTATTAGATACCAAATATTATTACAATATTCCTGATCATATAATTAAAATCGAATGCCTAAAGATATTATAAGAAAAATGTCAATTTGTTTAAACATTTTTGGGAAATGGACAACTGACTAAATATCTAGAATTGATAAAACTCAAAATATCAGGTTGAATCCAACATTTGATGAAAAAAAGAAGTTTGTGAAATGGATGGGTTTTACAAGGTGAATTTACAATCATTGTCCTATATGATAAATGAAGGTATTTGTGAATGCGTAAAAAATTCTTTGAAAAAAAAAGTATAAACAACTTAGATTATAAGAACACTGAGTTTCATTGCTCTGCACAGCATAATAATACTATACAGATTTAATTAGAACAAACCATGTCATAAAGAGAACAAAATTTGAGATGAGAATCATGCTGATTCAATATAGGAATAGGACTAGCAGAGAATTCTCTTCCCCAAATACATGATCACGAGTGAGAAGCTACTGGAGATGTTATCGATAAGCCTGGAAGATTCTTTATGTTCGCATTTTATTGGAAAAGAAAGAGACTACATGTGAAGGAGTGATTTTACTCGTCCCAGTACAAGAACTTTTGTAACTTTAAAGAAAAATAATCGAAGGGGAGTAAACGACATAAAGAGAAAAAAGCTTAAATTAAGGAAAAAATATTAAGAACTGTTGAAATGATTAGGAATCTGATAATGAATTTTCAAGAGGCTTGCCAAATATCTCTGAGAGAATTATAAACAGATTCTCTTGTCCATGTTCGAAAGCCAATATATGGTGAGGAGAACCAAGCGCAAATGTCGAAACCACAAGAATGCTCTTTTCGTGTCTCATTACTTTAAACATAAGTGAGTATCTTAGAGTTGATTCTTTTGCACAGAGAATTACATCACGTAGATCTGCAGGCATTGCAAAATAATCAACAAGATAGATGGATAAAAAGTTTTCTAAGTGTAAGGGTTGTAAATTGGAATTTTAACAGTGTTAGGACCATTTTTGAAGAAATTAATAGAACAAGCGTTTGACTAATAGGTCTAATGTTGGGACTTGAACCATTATAGGACACAATAAGAATATCAATTATTAACGCTGTTTATTCATGTTGAATTCAATTTCAAGGGTTGTGACTTGTAAAAAAAAATGCTAAAGAACGTGTTATCAATTAAAATAAATCAAAATAATATTCGTATCTGCATAAACATCTGTCTTTAAGTATTTTGTTTAGAATCCTGATATCACAATCAAGGTTTTTTTTTTTAATTTAAATAATTTTTTTATTAACCCATCTTAAATAATACAGTATCTGATTTTTATTGTATATAACATGATGACCATATAACAATTTGCTATTAAATGTATGTTTTTTTTGGGAACGTTATATTCTATCATTGATGTCATCGAGAATATGATCATTCATACATAACTTGAAATGACTTTAAATTAATTTCTTTCACAAAAATATTAAATCGGTCCTACAACAACAATAATAATATCTCTTTTCAATGAACTATTATTATTTTGAAAAAGATGGGCCAGGAAATTCAAATCTTCTATGAAGTCTACTTAAAATTTCAATATATGCTGGTTCATTTTCCGGATTAATAATAGAATGGCGAATAAAAAAATCAATTATTACTGTTTAATTTGAAAATAATATTGTTAATGATCGAATAGCGTACAAAAATACAAGAGAAAAATTGAGAGATTACATACTTAATGCGCAATTAGGTTTGAATTCACCATCAAGGATATGTTTTTTAACCTTAAAATTCAAATGTCATAAATCATTATAATGATTTAAAAAATTTATTAAAGACAAAATAATTAAAATACAATGTACAGTACGTACTTCATCAATATCCCATAAATAAAAACATTCAACTTCTCCATCAAGTGGCTTGGGTTTCACATCAATGGGAAGTTCAAGATCATAAACATACCTATATGAAAATTTTATATTAATATAAATCTAGTATTAATAAAAATATATTTCTTTTATATACCTACTCGACTTCAGGCTGTAATCCGTTCTTTGTAACTATAAAATATGTAATTGCACCAACTGGGACTGCCTTTTCAGCAATCTCTACAGGTAAACTAGCTTCTTCCATCGCCTCTTTAACAACAGTTTCTGTAACAGATAACTTATATGGTATACCACCTGCTACTGTATTATCTAAATAACCTGGCCATGTAGGTTTTGTTATAGAACGTTTTGCAATCCACATTTTAATTTTTCCTTCTGATGTTCTAATATATGCACTTAAATGAACTCCAAATGTTAATACTCCAAATAATGGTGTAGCTGATCTTTCCATAACAAATGCTATATTAGATGGTCCAAAAACTGGGTAAAGTTCATCACGCCATCCTTTAAAATTATAATTGAAAAAAAAATTTTTGTATTAAAAAAAAAAAAAATTCAAATTTTAATTACTTTTTCTTTTGAATATCGTAAAATGAAATCATGAATAATATTTCTAATAGAATAAAATTATAAAATTCTTTATTCGATTAATCGATTTTATTCGACAGGGTTATTTGAATATTTATTCGATTAATTATTCGATTATTCTATATATCTCTTATTTTTGCTAACCCAGCTTTCCTTCCCGAAAATATCCATTGACCCTTGCTCGTTTTTTATGTTCGGTAGTTGTCTATCTTTCTGAAATTACCCGTTTATTAGACGTAAAATTAAATATAATTGTCCGATTAATCGAATAACAAAATTCTTATTCGATTAATAGAGTTTATTCGAGTAAATTCGAATAAAAAAAAATTTTTTTTTATTCAATTAATCGATATTATTCATTATTTCAATTAATTATTCGAATAACCTTTATTCTAATTACGGAAATTTTTGAAAGAATTCATTTGATAACATTAATTTTATAAAACTCACCAACTAAAGCAGGAAAAGTTTTTTCTTTTCTCCAAGTTTCCAAAAGATTTTTTATTACTTCAGTTCTTTCTTCAAAAGTATTTAAATATGATGCAAAAGTAATAAAAGTTTTTTCAATAATAAAAGGACAAGGATTTTGAAGTTCATTATATTTTTTTAATGCCGGAATTGTAGTTTTAAGAATAAGTCCTATTTTAACATTATTTAATATTAGTGGTACTATGTTATGCAATAAATTCTCTTCACCTATTTCTTCATTCGGGTATGGAAAATTATCGCAATTTTTAACTATATCTAAAAATGTAGTCATTAATAAAAAAAAAAAAAAAAAATGATTTATTTGATCGAAATTTTTTTTTTTTATCTGCATGGTTAAAATCTATTTTATTGAGTCGATCAAATTTAGAGTTGGACCAATCAAATAATCAATTAAATATACAGTCACACCTGAATATCTAACCTCTCAAACAGATATGGGGACATATGACGATAAATAGGTGATTCACAGCTTGATGCCGGTATAAGGTATTGCGGTTAGGCGTAGAGAGGATAGGGGTGAAAGGTAATGAAAGAGGCTATAACGAATATCGGTATATAAGGATGTGGATATCGTTCACACGATTTATACTAAACAATTCACAAATAAACTAAAGATTTACTACTCGAGTTTATTATATTGAACAAACTGGTGATATCGGGTTATTTATAAAATAATCAAGTACAATCGTTAGCTCTATTCTATACATGGTAAAACAAAAAATAAAATAATTTTGTGAAATAAAAATAAATAATAAATAACGAATAACTACTATGAAATAATAATTCTATGAGATATATAATAGATAAAAATGATTTCATTGGTTCAAAATCGCCTATCGGTATTAGTCATGGGACCTGGCCTAAATTATAAGTCAAATTTCGTAATGCCGGCCAAAATCCAAAATTTTCCAAATTTTTGTATCCAAAATTTTCCGTGTCCCTGATCATAGGGTTGGGGGCACGGAAAATTTTTTGGGCATACCTAGGAGGGCATGCTTCTCTGTACACTGGGCATGCCCTTTCTAGATATCTTAATTGATTAACAGTTAACCTAACTTATTGTTATGTCAAATCAACTATGATGATTGACCAATCAAATAACCGAAATTTCATATGTAAGGTTTTTCTATATAAAAGAATAGGGACATGTCTTTTAGCCAAAGGGCATGCCCTGAGGCATGCCTTGCTGATCCGAATGTAATTATGCAGCTTTGTAATAATTTGTTAGTGAAATCACGTGACAATCATGAAGATACTTTGTATAACTAGTAAAGGGAGTTTTTGACTATAACAACATACGAAAGGAATTACACGCATGTGATATCAGGTTTTTTTTTCATTTTTTTGTATTAGTTCCTGCATAGCAGACTGAATATTAAACAAAATGCTTTAAAGATACATCGACGCGATCGATGTATAAATATTTTAATGACCAGCTGGTGGTTTCCCGCCCACTTTGTACGAAGCGGGTCAGCTTTTTGTGGTCAGAATAGCGAAGTACAACGTTAGCTGTTGTACAACATTAGTGGTTTCCCGCCTGCGTAGCGTAGGCCGGCTGTAAATCTGAATATCTTTCAAAAAAGAAATGACAGGATTCTAGTGGGTTGAGAGGGCTGGGTGCGATTGCAAATTTGCCTTTCTTAAAGATTGGCACTAGGCCTTTATACTGTTCTTCACTTTATATAAATGTTATGCCCTAGTGTCATAAATTATTGTCGCGGCTGATGCTGAAATTTGGGGTCTCGATTTGAAGCTATAAACCCTGCTAAAATCCATAAATACTCTTTAAATATCAAATCTAACCTAACCCTAAAAAAGTATAAATATTCTTGGCAAATGATTAATAAAAAAAAGTCTCCGATATCTCATATTAACGTATCAAGAAGAGTTCATAAATAAAATAATGATTTATCTTTCTTTAATTCCCAACTATCGTTAATATCAGAAACTCGATATGGAGCTAAATCGCATGTTTTTTGTGCGCTACTCTCCCAACCAGTAGTTATACTAGCAAATCGATCATATTAGACTTTGATATCATGATTCCCAAGATTAGTAGTTCATTGAAATACTTATCTACCTTCCCGTGGCGTTATCAATCCCCGAGTTGCATGATCCGGAATTTTCTTGTATATCGGGATTTCCATGTTCTGATGCATCACTCTTTCGATCTGTTGACCTTACTGTCAACTTGAATTAAAGTTACACAACACTACATAATTATTCTTTCTTCTATTTGAATCAATATTTGAGTTAGTTTCTTTCATTCGTCAATCTATCTTATTTGTCCGAATTGTTAATTTTCGTCTTTTCAGTATTATTTTTAAATAGCGAATTTACATTGTCCAGTTTGATGCGATAAATTTTTTAATTTTATAGGCTTTTTCTTGGTAGCATTCATGTCTAATTACGTTATTAAATACTTTAAAATAAATTTAATTCTTGTTTTGATTTTTGCTAACATTATTAGTTTTAACGAATGCAGATTCGATCGATAAACTACACAGATATAGATAGCTTTTTAAATATCTGAAGCCTCTTTTACTGAGATACCTCGTTTTCAACTTTATTGTTCTAATGAAGCATTGGCAATAATCCCTTATGTTAGGACACTTGCATATAAGATTTATAATTTTTTTATCCTAATATACTGTATCTTTATATACACTATTTATAGTCCCATGTTTGCTGAGTCTTTAGGGAATTAACCTCCCATACAATGTGTAAGTAATATTACATTTTATACTGTATTTTATATAATTAACATAACTTATACAGTATAATTAATTCTAGCTATTTGGAGGTGACGAAAAATTGCGTGACGAAGCTGTTTTAATTAGTCATAAGGTTGCAAGTCCTCATGAATATCAAGTAACTTTATATGTAACCAAAAATTTTGAAATGTCTTCTTTTAAGAAGTTATACTTGAAGTTTATATGCCTCATATATAAAAATTAATATCAAAAACAAAAATGGTTATATGTATATTTTATTAAAATTTCATATTTTCTAAACCTTTCCAAGTATCATTTGAACGTAGTTGCAAATTTATAAAACGGGTTACTTCTATAGAAGATAATAACATTCCATAATTGATCTTTTTAAAGACGAAGTAATATCTCCATTTCTCCCTCACTTAATTAGTCCAAATGGTGATACCAGATAATTGAACGAAATGGTATAGAGCTTAAAAGGGGTTTCAAAATTAATGATTCGACGCCTGATAAGTGACGTATTTATTTCGAAACAAGTGACTTACAAAGTATATTTTATTTTTAAGCTTACGTTTATTTGTAACTGATTTATAATCCCGACGTTCTTATTTCATTTTCTGATTTTGAAATTTAAAAATACAACTAAGAATTTTTTAAACTCTCACTTATTTTTGAAATAAGCTAATTCTGAAACACCCTAATATGCAAATTAGTGTTCATTAGAAATGTTCAGACTCTTTTTGTATATTTTATAATTATATCTAATGTTGGAAATTCAGATTGGTTTTAATGTTCTCAAAAAAAAATTTTTTTATATGTTTCATTAATAAAAAATTTAGAATTTCCATCACTAGGCTTCCGCAAGGGCCTGGGCTACCCATGGATACCCTAAGGGTAGTACCAAGTAAGCCGGGCTTGGGTACTACTAACTGAGCCCTCAGGTAAGGATAAGGGCTTAAAGTATCAAGCCCTTATATAATGGGTAGGGTTAGGGTATTTATACTATCCAAGCCCTTGTACTGCTGGGTAGGGTCAGTAATACTTCGATTATAGGTTAGGTCTATTTTAGATAAACACATGCTAATTGACTTAAATTTTGGAAAAAAATTACTTTTTATCATATAGGTGAAAAATTTCAATTTCGTGATTATTTAAATTGAAACTATGAGATTAAATAGAATCTAAACCAATAATATATGAAATATAGTGTGATTACTGAGATTAAAAGTGATGATTTGATCAGTGATCATAAAATTGCTTATGTGAGTTGCTTATCAGTTTTTGTATCCAATTTATGAGTAGTGCTCCGAACTAATTAGCTAGAATACCCCAAAACTGATCTGAATCAGATCAATTTTGGATCATTTGAGCTAAGTATCACTGTGTTATTATCTAATTTTGCATTCTAACTAAAAATTTCTACTCATATGTTCACCAATCATAGGCTATTAATATCTACTTCCATATATATGACAAATTGACTTTTTTTTTTGCTCTGGTTTATTTTACCCAACTTAAATTTCTATGTAGTAAATTGTGATCATACCAATGCCCTAACTTAATAGTATAACTATACCCAATGCAATGTACTAGTATAATATCTAACACAATGTTCAACACAAAGCACTAGTATACCTAACAAACACACAATGCAAACAATACATACAATATATTAACTACCAGTGTTGGTACTGAAAAATTGAAAGGCTATTGAAGCTGCTATAAGTTAAAGCAATAAGATCATTAGACTTTAATACTGTACTATCTAAAATACTATAGTATAAACAACCAGTCCTAACAAATAAAAATTTTAGCAGCCAAATTTGAAATTTCATTTTTATATATATGATGTGGCCAAATTTGAAATTTTGCTAAATTTAATATATAAAGTGGCTAAATTTAAACTTAAAATCTATTAGATAGCCAAATTTTAAATTTTACGTAGCCAAATTTAAGATTTTTTTTATATATAAAAGGTGGCCAAATTTAAAAATTTAATATAAAACTACTCTAATTTTGAATCTTTGTAACTT